TCTGCCGTCCTAGTCCAGCGTGGTACCCAATAGTGCTGTCTTCGTCTGCAATAAGCGCCCCAAACCTTCTTTGTCCGACTCCTGCAGTATGGACTAGTTCGAACTCGTTCGATACGTTGGCCACAGAGGCGGAAAGTTCGGTCTGTTCAGTGGTCGGCACCAAGAATCCATCCTGGGTCGAGGCGATCAAGAGGAAATAGTGGGATGAGAAGAGCGCGAACTCCTCCCACTCGTCGAACGGTTCGACCTCGTCCAGAGAACGCCGCAGCGACTTGCTCACGAAACTGTCATCTGACCAGATATCCCAGAGACTCCTTGCGTGTGCATGCTGCCACCCGGCGTTCTTGAACCGCTGCTCTTGTTCGTTTAGTGAAGGGTATTCGTGGATCGAGAAGAGAGGCGCGCCGAGCTTCTTGAAGTGTTTCATCATGGTTGACGCGAAAGGATGGTCTGGTCCATCGGGGAAGAACTGCTCCAGTATGCAGAATCGGGCATCTTTCAAACCTGGCGTCAGCACCTAGACGCAATCTTCCCGAGGGGGCTCAGTCGGATTGCCTAACCATTGTTCAACTGCGCAGCCCATTTCAGAACTTCATTGGCAGACTTGACATCCATGTACGTCAAAGAGACCTCCGCGAGGAACAGAACCGAGCACTCGGCCGGAAGGACCTCTTTGCGCAGGACATCGTCCAGCTTCTTCAAGTTCTTCAGATCACAGCCGATGGCAATGTAATGCTCGCTCTGGATCTGGATCGCACTCTCATCCGGCAGGAACTCTACATTTTCGAGGAGCTGCGTGATCTCCTCGGTCCTCCTAATGGCCGTTTTCTTATTGAGCATGAGCTTTTCGTAATCGATATCCACGAACCGCGTATCTTTACAAAGGGACTTTTCGGTGTTGAGGAGAATGAACGGTAGAGGATCACTACGGCACCCCGACTTAGTATACCGATTCCAGCACGTCGGGCAGTTTCCTTCGACTACGACTCACAATCCACATCCCAGGTTCAGGACGAATTTCGGCTTGCCGGAGGGTTCCGCCATGAATTTGCGCACTGTCTCGGCCATTGCGTGCATACGGAGCCAATAGCCACGGTTGATCAACGGCGACCGGCGCTGAGGCTTCTTCACGAAATACCGGAAGTAATGCGGTTTGGGGTAGTAGAGCATTTCGACGCTGCGTTTCGACACGATACTGCTGTTGTTGGTCTAGAAGAGTCAGGCTTGTAATCTATAGAATAGACGGAATACATGGGTGTACAATGTAGATCGTGGCCAAGTATCGGCGCTGGCGCATAGTAACAACCCCGCGACGGAATGGATAGAACTTACACCCATGACCAGGTCGGCCTCTTTCTCGGCCTTGGAGAGGACTGGCGCCATCACCGGCTTCTTGGTAGAAGCCGTCGCAGGGCTAGCCTCCTTCTTCGCCGTCATCATAGGCGATTGTGGGTGGTTCTGAAGTGACCCAGAGGGAAATCGATCGAAGAGAAGAAAGCGGGATGGAATAAATAATATTTCAGACTAGTCTCCGTACGTACTGTAATTGATCGGAGCGGCGGCGGGCGATCAAGGTGTGGCCCGAGCGTCAGGTGCTCGCTTGCCGCGTCTGACGCAAACCGCGGCAAAGACGAACGAACGGCTGTTCTCCGATCCCTCCGCATCCAACCAGTCCGCTACTCATCCATCCCTCGCTAGTATCGTCAATTCGCGATCGCTTTTCTGCTTGGGCTCGTGCAGCATCGGCTCTCATCGATCGTCAAAGTCTATCTTGCGTCTTTCCCACCAGCACCCACGAGATATGCAAGGCGAACATCACCAGCTGTGACGGAAGCGGTCCTAGGACGGGATCTGTTTAGCCCCTCTATTTAGCAACACTGAAGCTTGTCTAAGCCCCGCAGTTGCCTCAACTCAAATCGAGAGTGTCTTGCATCGCTGGCTCTCCGGTCGCCTTACGTAGCCGACAATTTATACGGTCATAGATTCTTTGCGCGGAGTGGGACACGGTCGACCACAGCGATCGACACAGACAAGATGGCGATGAATTTCGTGACGTTCAACCAGGACTATAGTTATCTGGCCGTCGGTAAGGGCCCTCCGGATTATACTCCAGCTTGACTCATGGAATATCTCTTGACACTTATCAGCGACTTCCAAGGGATTTCGTATCTTCACCACGGATCCTTTCGCCAAAAGCTATGAGACGAAGGAAGGGAATATTGCCATCATTGAGATGCTTTTCTCCACATCCCTGGTTGCGCTGATCTTGTCACCACGTCGCCTTCAAATAACCAATACCAAGGTTCGTAGGACACCCTTGTGCACATTTGTTGGGCCTCGCAAGGTTGATGTACCTTGACGAGATACTTGCTTTGTCCGCTACCTTGCGCGCATGACGTATTTGGCTGACACCTTCTTTCTCGATCCCACCTATAGCGCCAGTCGACGATATGCGAGTTGACATTTCCTACCACCGTGCTCGCGGTTAAGCTGAATCGCAAACGACTTGTCATAGTTCTGGAGGATCAGATCTACCTCTATGATATTCAGACGATGAAGCTATTGTATACCATTGAGACTTCCCCGAACCCTAACGGTAAGCCAACGCTCGTCGCTGCGCATACCTTGTACATGGTCTAATTTCACTTAGCAATCTGCGCCTTATCTCCCTCCTCTGACAATTGCTATCTCGCGTATCCTCTCCCCCAGAAAGCGCCGCCCTCGTCGTTTACTCCCCCTTCTCATGCGCCCCCCGGCACAACACATGTTTCACCTACGAGTGGTGAGGTTCTGATTTTCGACACTCTGAAGCTGGAAGCTATCAACGTTATCGAAGCGCATCGATCTCCACTGGCGTGTATCACACTCAACAGCGACGGTACACTGATCGCCACCGCTTCCGACAAAGGAACTATCATCCGAGTGTTTTCCGTCCCCGACGGTCACAAGCTTTATCAGTTCCGGCGCGGATCGATACCGTCTAGAATCTACAGCATGTCGTTCAATACCACCTCAACACTTCTCTGCGTATCTTCGTCCACCGAGACCATCCACCTGTTCAAATTGAGCCAGCAGTCTCAGTCATTACACACCACTCCGTCATCGTCTTCGCCCACTGCTGCGGACAGGAGATATAGTCAGAGCTCCTTTGGCCAATCCTCGGACCCGGACGATGCTGGCGGAGAGTCAGGCTCTTCTGAGCTCGCTTCCAGGAAACATAATGGAACCCTAATGGGGATCATCCGGCGCACCTCACAAAATGTCGGCAGCTCATTTGCCGCGAAGGTTGGCGGGTATCTTCCCAAGGGTGTCAGCGAGATGTGGGAGCCCGCTCGTGACTTCGCGTGGATCAAACTGCCCAAATCCAACCAGGGCCCCGGCACCAACGGCAGCACTGGTCCGCTCCGCAGTGTCGTTGCCATGAGCACCAACACGCCCCAGGTGATGGTGGTGACCAGCGACGGAAACTTCTACGTCTTCAGCATCGACCTCTCGAAAGGTGGTGAGGGCACGTTGACCAAGCAATACTCGTAAGTTTCTTCTGTTTTCATCCATATATGGGGTTCATACTAACCATGCAAACCACGCAGTGTTCTCGACGCGAATGACCGATTGGGATACTCAGTCATGGATTATTGAATTTGTCTTAGATACCATTCATTTCGATTCTTGCCTTCTTTGCCTTTCCTTCGCTCAATCAAGTCAGTCGTTTAACGAGCCAGTCGCATTTTTGTTCTTTCTTTGAGCGTCTGCATTTCAACTTTTGTCTCGGTCCCAACATCAAGCCCGTCTACATGTGCAAGTCACTTTCTCTTCGCTCCGTCTCTTCTTGTGTCTTCTCTTCAGGTACTTAATTAGGTTCCCTTTGTCCAGAACTTCCGAGGACTTATTATATATGTGACTTATAATTCACCTGTGGCTGTGGCTGTGGCTGTGGCTGGGGCTGTTGTGTACTGTACTCCGAATTGCGCCTGCAGAGTAAGCTCCCATGTTCCAGAGAAATGTGGCTTATGACGGCAGTTTTTGATGTGTATGTATCTGGTGTCTGTAACGTATGTTGCCTTTTGATTCTCGCCATCTCTCGGTGTGTTTATTGTGTGCCTCCTCGAAACATCTTAATAATTCCATGCATCGCTCCTGATTTAAATACGGAGCAGGATTAACCACGGGTTGAGGAAGCTGTAGAGGTACCACTAGCCACCGGGAATGCAATAAAGACCCCAATCCTCCTCCTACTGGGGTAAGCGAGATAGTAAAGCAGATAGCAGATGAGTGCAGATTAATCAGGCCCTTCTACGAACTCCCCATGGATATGATTAAACATAGACCTGTAGCGCTGGGGTAAGGCGGGTGCAAGACTACCTAAGTCTCGTGAGAAAGAGTGTTGGGGTGGGTGTCTCTACCGTCCTTGGGAAACGCTGCGCTGAGTGCAGGACGAAGGCTTGGGTAGCATGAAGGATTAGATACCTTGCCTATTAGTCCAAGCGGACGGGGATGAATGGTACAGCCTAGATGGAGTCTTTAGTCGTCTATCGTGAGGCCTGGGGCTATAGGGCTATGTGTTTGATATGTTGATTTGTTGTTGTGGTTCGTCAAAGTACAGTACAAGGCATAGGTAGGCTGCTAGTACGAGGAGGTGGAGAGGGAGGAGGAGGAAAGGAGCAGCAGCAGTAGCAGCATACTGTGTTCTCCAAGGAATAAAGGAGGGGCCAGTCCGCAGGCATGATAGTAAGACCACTGACAACCTGCACTTCATACCAACCAAGGAATGGAAATTAACCCAGGTATTTTTTACCTGCGTTGGGACAGGGAGAGTACTCCTGAGAGTCAACAAAACCAATCACATTCAAGAGTCACGCGAATTGCCCGGAAATGTTGAAGCTAGACTAAACCGAAACTAAACCCCCACTTTGAGTACGAATGATGAAGTAAAGACACGCGGAGCAAGGAGACTACAGATTCTGGACGAGATGCAGGTGGCTGCTGCTCTGCTAAAAAGCTCAGAGCTGCCGACTCTTCTTGTAGCGCTGCCACCAGAACATCGGCAGCAGACAGGCCCCCACGGCAACCAAGTTACGGAGTGCAGGGAACTTCTTGCGTTGTTGGACTTGATGCTTGGATTCCAGTGGTATCTCCTTCTCCGTGACGACCGCAGTCGCTTTCTTAGAGTCATCGGCAGGGGGAGGGGGGTTTAAGGCCCGCTCGGCCGCCAGCTGCATGGCCAGCACATGGATTGTGGGGGGAGTATCGTCCCCTAGGATCGGCACCACGAAATCTAGGATTTCCTCGGTCTTCAGCGCTTCCATCCCACAGATCCAGTTTGAGCCGGAGGTGCCGGTCAATCCCTGTAGACCCACTGGGACCGGCTTGTGATGAGTGGGCATACGAGACCAGTCGCACTTCACCGCGAGCTTCTTCCCGTGGCGGGACATGTCGAGAGCCTTGAGACCGAAGTCGTCGATTCTGTCACATTGGGGGTGCTGGATACAGGCCAGACAAATCTCCCTTTGATATGGTTCCGGGATGGGCTGGCCTAAGACATCTGCCTCCAATGCGATAAAGCGCCTGGGCCCGGAGAAGACCTTGCGTACGACCCAGAGCCTGCTGCCTTGTTGATCGAAGGTGAAACGCTGGATGTATGGATATTTTTTCATGTGTTCGTAGCCTAGCCTCCCTTCCCTTTCCGTGGACTAACCAACCATTTAGCAGAATAATAGGCTGGGTACGAAGCACGAGAAGGCTCACGGTGACTTTTACTTCCGTGCTTTCGGGCTTCAAGGGCTTCGGAGATTGTTGAGTCTAGCGGCCATTAGCAGGGCATGGGACCGTGGGAAACATGAAGACTTACAGGAGTTGTGGTACTAGTGCTCTCGGAAGTCTGGGGCTGGTGGGCTTCATCGGGCTTCTTTGTGGTCTGTAGCTTCGGTGCGCATTGATCCCTTTGGGCCTCTTGAGTCTGGACTGCAGAGCTCTCCCTGGATCGTTGAATCACAGGAGCTGTGATAATAACGCGCTCAGAAGGATGAGGCATCTGAGGTCTATGAGGTTCTCGAGGCTGCTGGGAATCATTGAATTGCTTTGTGGTCTGTCGCTTCTGTGTGCATTGATCCCCCTGAAACTCCTGCGCCTGGAGACTAGAGTCCTCTGTGGATTGTTGGGCATTCGAGATTGTGGTATCGGTGCTCTCAGAGATCGGGGACTGCTGGGGATTATTGGATTGCTTTGTGGTCTGCAGCTTCTGTGTGCCTTGATTCCGCTGGAACTCCTATCCGCGCATCAGACGACGACTCTATCTCATGAGGCATTTGCGCCTTTGACACCAATGCTTCAAGAAACGGGTCATCGGCGTGGCAGAGAGTCAACCGAATACAAGGATCCAGGCTGCGGACACGGCAAGCATCGCAGAGGCTCTGGATATGACGCTTCTTGGCCTCCTCCTCCTCCTCCTCGTGACGTTTCTTGGCCTCTTCGTCGCGTTCTCTAGTGCGATGATCCATGGTTGCAAAGGCCAGCAATGATGATTATCAACAGGGCTGTGAACAGGAGAAGATGAGGGAGTGGGCTTATATGTATCAGCTTTGCCCCTCCAGTAGGTAGAACTCCTATGAGCAGGATCCCCGCAGCTTCCTGCAGTGTAACATGTGCCAGAGTTCAAGTGTAGACTTAAGGTCGCATGACGAGGTGGTGACTACGCCCTGGACGACAAACGGTGCTTGTTTTCATGGTGTCCATCCGTGGAACTGTACTTTTGACGACCAACAAGAGTTTGACTTGGGGAGGAGAAGCAAGACTACTGTGGGCGATGGCTCAGAGCGCGGAACTCATCTCAAGTTCCGATTTGAGAGGCGCTCTTGTCCAGGAATGACCGGAAGTGATATAATCAGTGTTGTTTCTGCTGGATATGTGTTCCGGGAGCTCGGATATGCTGCCCGGTCCATAACTGGACAGGAAGACGTGGTGTATACAAACAAGGCGGTTGTAAACTCCTAGACGGCCAAGCGAAAGCTGTCCTTCAGTGAAAATGCCTCAAAGGTGCCCTTTTAGGACCTTTGTTTGAGCCTGCTTTCCAGCTGCAATCAACAGATGTCTGAGTGGTTCCCATTAGTGATATAAATGATTGGGATATTGAATCTATAGCTGGCGCTAGTGCAGTATAGCTATGAGAATGATTCCAATTGCGTCAGTAATATCTAAGAACACGACACGAAAGAATCGTAGAGGTATTCACCCTACAGTATCTCCAGGCTGGAGTAGAGGATATAGTGATGAGTTGCTAGTAACTTAATGATGCTGACATACATGGATTGTTTCATTCTTCTATGGGAATCGAAGGCTTGGCGGCGCGGCCTTACATAATCAGCCTAGCTCCACAGGAGCGCAACGCCCGCCCGAGCGGCGAGGAACTGAGAGCTTCCTCTGCTTCCCCATCAACAAGCTTATGATTCAACCCCCCTCGTCATCGCCTGCTCTGTGAAGGTTCATTCTGTTCGACCTTTACCACCCCGGATACCTCTGTTAGAGCATCTTTCTACGCTCTAGTCTCTCCCCACCCCCCGATACCACACAGTCCTACTCGCCATATAATCGTCAGCAATGGCGCAAGATGGCGAGCGGTCAGCTCCCGCCGACAAGGGCAAGGGCAAGGTTGACGATGTGAAAGATTTGACCGGAGGAAAGAAGGCACAGACCGGCGAGAAGCCTCAAGCCGACGGAAAGAAGAAGGATGAGGAGCCCCAGGAAGGTAGGCGATACATTGAGCCCGTGGCATGGGCGGAAACATCCCGACCCGACGCCGCTTCTGGCACCAGCTATCCCAGCTTGCTGTGACAGTGCTAATCAAACCATGCAGAGGAGCTTAATGAAGAAGATCAGCAACTGAAGAACGAGCTGGAGATGCTCGTGGAAAGATTAAAGGTATGGTCACAGCAGCTGTTGCTATAGGCCCCGATCGATGACGTTAACGCTCCGCCTTCCTGCCTAGGAGCCGGATACATCCCTCTACAGCCCTGCCTTGGATGCGATCAAGAATTTCATAAAAACCTCGACATCTTCTATGACCGCTGTCCCCAAGCCCCTGAAATTTCTCCGACCTCACTACGATGACCTCACGGCGCTTTATGACAAGTGGCCGGCTAGCCCGGTTAAGGTGCGTCTTCTGTTGTACCATGGCGCCGATTGGAGCGATAATCTGACCTTATCACAACTAGGACGCCTTGGCCGACATGCTATCAGTTCTTGGAATGACATACGGAGACGAGGAGAAGCTGGAGACCCTGAAGTACCGCCTGCTGACCAAGTCGGAGGATCTCGGCTCATGGGGCCATGAATACATCAGACACCTGGCCTTGGAGATCGGCCAAGAATATCAAAACAGGCTAAACGCCGAGAAGGACGTACAAGATCTGATCGACCTTGCTCTTTCTCTTGTTCCGTACTTCTTGAAGCACAACGCTGAAGCAGATGCCGTCGACTTGCTGAGTGAGCTCGAGATCATCGAGGAAATCCCTCGCTTCGTGGACGAGAACACATACGCCCGAGTCTGCCTGTACATGGTTAGCATGGTTAACCTCCTAACGTACCCAGAAGACCAACAGTTCCTCCGCACTGCCCACGAGATCTACGTCACCTACAAGGAGCTCACCAAGGCCATCGTTCTTGCTATTCGCCTAAACGACACTGAGCTGATCAAGAGCGACTTGAACGCTACCTCGGACGATTCTATCAAGAAGCAGATGGCCTTCCTCGTTTCCCGACAACAAATATGGCTCGATCTCCCGGAATATGAAGAGGATCAGTTGTTCATGGATTGCCTCAACAATACCTCGATCCCCAAGCACTTCAAGTCTCTTGGCAAGGAACTCAACATTTTGGATCCCAAGATGCCCGAAGATATCTACAAGACTCACTTGGAAAGCTCGCGTGGCGCCGGCCTCACCAACGTCGATTCCGCTAGACACAACCTCGCCAGCGCTTTCGTGAACTCGTTTGCCAATGCTGGATTCGGAAACGACAAGATGATGCTGGTCGAAGGTGACAAGGGCCCTTGGGTGTGGAAAACGAAGGATGACGGCATGCTGTCGACCACGGCTTCTCTGGGAATGCTCATGCACAGAGATGTCGAGATCGGGCTGGATAAGATCGACAAATACACCTACGCCTCGGAAGATCAGATCAAGGCGGGTGCTTTGTTGTCCATCGGTATCCTGAACTCTGGTGTCCGGATCGATTCTGACCCTGCCCTGGCTCTCCTGAGCGACCCCGAGAATCTGGAAGCCAAGAGCGTGCCCATGCGGGTCGCATCGATCATGGGTCTTGGTCTGGCCTATGCCGGCTCCAACAAGGAGGAGCTGTTAGAGGCTCTTCTTCCGATCGTCGAAGACAGCGCCCTGGATATGCAGCTCTCTGCTATGGCGGCTGTCTCCCTGGGTCTCATCTTCGTTGGCTCTTCCAATCACCAAGTCAGTGAGGCAATTGCCTCGACCTTGATGGACGAGGAGAGACAGAAGCACCTGAAGGACAAGTGGACCCGTTTCATGGCGCTTGGTCTCGCCCTTCTGTACTTCGGTCGTCAAGAAGAGGTTGACGTTGTTCTTGACATTCTCAAGGCCGTGGACCACCCCATGGCTAAGCCCACCTCTGTACTTGCCTCAGTCTGCGCCTGGGCAGGCACTGGCACAGTCCTGAAGCTCCAGGAGCTCCTCCACATCTGCAATGACATCATCGAGGAGACCGACGAGAAGAAGGGTGACGAGCTCGTCCAGTCATATGCTGTCCTTGGCTTGTCGCTCATCGCCATGGGCGAGGAAGTTGGCCAGGACATGATTCTCCGACAGTTTGGCCATCTCATGCACTACGGTGCCAGCAACATCCGCAAGGCTGTACCCCTCGCTATGGGTCTGATCACACCTAGCAACCCCCAAATGAAGGTCTACGACACTCTTTCGAGATACAGTCACGACACCGACAACGACGTTGCTATCAACGCCATCTTCGCCATGGGTCTGTGTGGTGCCGGTACCAACAACGCTCGTTTGGCGCAGTTGCTCCGTCAGCTGGCTAGCTATTACCACCGTGACCAGAACTCTTTGTTCATGGTTCGCATTGCGCAGGGTCTTCTGCATATGGGCAAGGGCACCATGACCCTGAACCCCTTCCACACCGACCGACAGGTCCTGTCGCGTGTATCAGCTGCCGGTCTGCTCACCGTCCTCGTGTCCTTGATTGACGCCAAGCAATTCATCCTCGCCGAACACCACTATCTCCTCTACTTCCTCATCACCGCCATGTACCCTCGCTTCCTCATCACACTCGATGAAGACTTGCAGCCTCTGACTGTGAATGTCCGGGTCGGTCAGGCCGTGGATGTTGTCGGCCAGGCCGGTCGCCCGAAGACGATCACTGGCTGGCAGACGCAGAGCACGCCAGTTCTCTTGGCCTATGGTGAGCGGGCCGAACTCGAAGACGAGCAATACATCCCTCTCAGCAGCACTCTGGAGGGTTTGGTAATCTTGCGCAAGGTAAATATCCCGTCACACCATGAACTGAAGTTCCCCTGCTAACTTGGAATGCAGAACCCCAACTGGGAGGCGGAGACTTCCGCATAAATGAGACGAGAACTGAACATGAAACTTTGCGAGCTTGAATGAGCGCCGGGAAATCACAGCTTTGGGATTCTTGGACTTAATGTATTCAGAACGAACCGGAAATACCTTATATCAATTAGACCAATGGATATAGGAAGGGGAGTGTTCAATGCTAAGGAGTTTATTCTTCAAGGTAGTTTAGCTTCGAGGACCCAGGTTGGTTGGAGCATATGCTTCCGTTTATGTATAACGTAGATTCTTGCGGTGTCATCGTCGCAAGGTTTCATCCACGTTGTCCGTCGTCCGAATTGTATACAGAAAGATCCCGAACAGGAAACTAGGGCATAGGGCAGCGGAGCCCATAACTTTTCCCCGGGTACCTTCAGGGACGCCGCCGCCGCAATCACCTCGAAGGCTTAGAGATAAAACGGGCGACTCCACTCTTGAAAATCCGAAGTGGTTATTGAATATTTTGTCGCTGTTAATCAACTCCAATCTTCGAGCAACTTTCCGCCATGAAGCTCGACCCCAAAGCGATCCGTTACCTCACGGCGGAGGACTTTCGCGTTCTCTCGGCGGTAGGCTACGCCCGCACCCCTCCAAGCACTCTTCCCCGCCTTGACTTTTTTTTTTGGACGACCTTTTTTTTTTTTTTTTGTTTTATGTCTCGTATTGACCAAAGCTAACAGACAAGCTTGTCTTTCTTGAGGAGAAAAGGTTGAACAAGGCAGTCGGAACCATGAAATCGTGCCTACGCCGTTGATTGCGCAGATCTCGGGCCTCCGCGGGGGCAGCGGGGTGCATCGATCGATCTCGAACCTTGCGAAGACGAATTTGATTGCGAAGGTGAAGAATGCTAAATGTATGTCTGCCTGCCTGTCTTGTATCTTGGGGGATGTCCTGTCTACGTTTCTTCTTGCTTACCATTTTTGGGACATAAGACGACGGCTACCGCCTCACCTACGGCGGCCTGGACTACCTGGCGCTGCACGCGCACCAGAAGCAGAAGGTGATCTACTCGGTGGGCAACCAGATCGGGGTGGGCAAGGAGTCGGACATCAACGTGGTGGCCAACCACCAGAAGCAGCAGTGCATCCTGAAGATCCACCGGCTGGGCCGCATCTCCTTCCGCACCGTCAAGACCAACCGCGACTACCTGCGGCACCGCACCTCGGCCTCGTGGATGTACATGTCGCGGCTGGCGGCCATGAAGGAGTTCGCCTTCATGAAGGCGCTGCGCGCCAACGGGTTCAGCGTCCCCGAGCCCATCGCCCAGAACCGCCACACCATCGTCATGAGCCTGATCGATGCGTTCCCGCTGCGCCAGATCTCGTCGGTCGCGGACCCCGCGGGCCTGTATGCGGAGCTGATGGAGATGATCGTCCGGTTTGCGCGGTATGGGTTGATTCATGGTGATTTCAATGAGTTTAATATTTTGATTAAAGAGGTCGTGGAGGAGGGCGAGAAGGGGAAGGGGCGGGAGATTGAGGAGGACGACGAGAAGGTGACGTTGGTGCCCGTGGTGATCGATTTCCCGCAGATGGTTTCGATTGATCACCCCAATGCGGAGATGTACTTCGATCGCGATGTCAACTGCATCAAACGGTACTTCTCCCGCAAGTTCCACTTTGTCAGTGATGTGCCCGGCCCCTTCTTTGCCGATGCGAAGAAGCAGATGATGGCGAATCCGGGGAAGCGGTTGGATGTCGAGGTTGAGGCGTCGGGCTTCTCGAGGAAGATGGCCCGTGAGTTGGAGAATTATATGCAGGAGGTTGGGGCGACGGGGGATGGGGGGAGTGATCGGGAGGATGAGGAGGAGGACGAGGAGGATGAGGAGGGAGAAGAAGAAGAGGAGGAGGATAGGGAGGAGTCGCAGTCGGATGAGCTCGAGGAGAGTTCTCGACGGCTAGGCAATCTGAAGGTGTCGGAGGAGGGACAGTAGGGATTTGCTGCGATGGATAAAAAGATATGATACGATCATGACCATAATGAATAGACCTTTTCTGGGATTTGTGAATTTGTGACTTTTGTCTGCGACTCACTAGCTGATTGTATCGTAGGTCTTGCCTTCTCCTTGTATTGAGTTCTGAGGTATTATTGAGGCCACTGACTGCGGTCTCAAATTGTCCGACTATGAACTTCCAATCCAAAGATCCTGTGCCATCACCAAGAAGCACCCGATTACATCGGTAGACAAGTGTAAGTCAGGTCAATGACAATTGCCGCATAACTTAAGCCTCCGCATTGCTCCATAGCCGGAGTGGAGTAAGTACAGTACAGTACGCAGTACGGGCGCCGAAGCGGCCAAACGACGCAAACAAAACGATTTGCAAGAAAGTTCCGCTCCGGAAGATAACCAAACGATTCCGCACCTCCAAATCCACCACCACCACCGACTCCTCCTCCTCCTCCTCCTCCTCCTCCTCCTTCCCTTGGTCTCCCAAACCCCCGGACCAGAAGAGTCACTCAGCAAAAATGGTCCGCAAACTCACGCAACTGGCGAAAAAAGTGCCCACCCGGCCGGAAGGCTGGGTCGGACCCGGCGCTCCTCTGGAGGCGCGCAAACAGGTCTTTCTGTGAGCACCAACCAACCCCCCCCCCCCCCCCAAATCCTCGCAGTTTCCCTGCTCCCATACCCTCTCTTTGCGCCCCCAGGTTCTATTCCTTTCAGAGCGTCCCCGCTAATGTGTGCCGCCGCACAAAAGACCCGAGTTCACCGTCGCCCTCATCCGCACCCCCTTCCTGCCCCCGCGCTACGCCTCCTTCTACGTCCCGCTCCACCTCAACAAGCTCGACATGCGCGACTACCTGCAGCGCGCGTACGGGGTCGGTGTGCTGGCCGTGCGCAGCTTCGTCGAGCAGCAGAAGGTCACCCGCATGAAGAGCCGGGGCCGGTTCGGGTACGGGCCGCTGCGCCGCCCGCAGAGCAAGAAGCGGATGACCGTCGAGATGAAGGAGCCGTTCGTGTGGCCCGAGGCGCCGAAGGAGATGGACAAGTACGTTTTTTTTTTTTGCCTGTCCCCTTCCTGTTCCCCTGGTTTTGGTTTTGGCCGTGGTTTGTGGTTTGTGTGGGTTGCGTACGCAACGCCCCGCTCCGCTTTCCGGATGGAGTGTGGTGGAGAGATGAATGATGTACCGGCGGTGTTGGCTGGTGTGACGTGACGCAATGCTAATTCTACTTTTACCGGGCAGATGGGAGAAGGACCAATACTACAAGGCCGCCAAGTGGCAGCAGGACATGCAGGACGCCCAGAAGCCCGAGGCCCCCATGTTGGCCCCCACCAAGGAGCGCGAGTCGTACGCCGCCGAGGCCGAGAAGATCCTCAGCGGCGAGAAGCCCTGGCGGCCGACTTGGCAGGCGCTGGGGTTGAATTACGATCGCGCCGTCGGGGCCAAGCCGGCTACTAGTCCTAAGGCTGGGTCTGGGTCGAGGTCGTGAGGGTTGCCGGTTGTAGTGGGTGGATGATATCTGGGGAAAGGATGAAAGGCAGCGAACAATCCTAGATTCGGGAACAGCGCCGGCGGGCTGGCTGTTCTTTGGGGTTATGTATTTTCTTCTGGGGGTTTTTCTTTCAAGGTCGCGCTGTATGATATCGCTTTGGGTTTATAAATATATCTTTCTTTTTCTTCCACGGTGGTTGGTTTTGTTTGCGGAGTCCTGGGGACGTTGATTGTTCAGGGTGTGTATTGGATAAATATATTGTTGTTATCGGATAAAATGTATTGTTGGTTTCATAATGTGGATTATAATAAGACAAATGTGGGTGGAATAGCAAAACGCTGCATCGACAGAAACCCCGCTGGCTGCTTAAATCATAAAAACAAGAGCATTATCTACAGTTGGCCCAATCTGAGAAAGTATACTTTCAGCACCTCAAAACCGGTCTACAGCCGGCTCTCGATGAAATTGGCCTGGTGTTGCCCCGGCCAGTGAGCGTCGGGCCACACCTGTCGAATGGCTTCCCAGATGTGTCTGATTGCCAAGAATTAGTGGTAAATACTGATTTAATCAAATAGGAACACTTACTTGACGTAAATAATCTCCAGGCCCTCGTTGACCTCCTGCGGGACATCCTTCACATCCTTCCGGTTGTGTTGCGGCAGAAGGACGGTCTTCACGCCCGCACGCAACGCTCCGATCAGCTTCTCCTTGATCCCGCCCACCGGCATCACCTTCCCGCGCAGCGAAATCTCGCCGGTCATGGCGAGGCTCGGAGGCACCGGCTTGCCGCTGAACAGCGAGATCAGGCCGATCGTGTGGGCGAGGCCGGCGGAAGGACCATCCTTCGGAACCGCCCCGGACGGGCAGTGGACGTGCAAGCTGCGGTTCTTCATGATGTCCTCGTTGGGATCCGCGGACAGTCCCAGCTCGTAGGCATGCGCCTTGACCCAGGTGAGAGCGACCTCGACACTCTCGCGGAGAACACCTCCCAGGTTACCGGTCAGCTGGATGTTGCCGTTGCCCGGCATATCAGCCACTTCGATGAACAGGATACTGCCTTGGCCGCCGGTGGAGAAGGCCACGAGACCCGTCACCACGCCGGGCCGGCCATGCTTCTCTGCCAGTTCCTCGTAGAAACGCTCGATGCCGAGGATATCCTCCAAATCCTCGAGGCTCACGACGGGATTGTACGCTTCCAGCCGGCCGGCGTCTCCCGCGTCCGCGTACTGCACCGCCTTGGACCGGCAGATCGAGCCGATCTCACGCTCCAGGTTCCGTACTCCAGATTCCATGGTATACGACGTGATGACTTTGTCGAGAACCTCGTCCGATAAGATGACTTGGCCATCTGAGAGTCCGTTGGCCCGGACCTGCTTGGGGATAAGATGTCTCTTGGAGATGTGTCGCTTCTCGATGTTCGTGTAGCCGGACAACTGTATCGTCTCCATACGGTCAAGGAGTGGGGCGGGGATGGTCTCCAGCGAGTTGGCCGTGGCGATGAAAAGAATCTTGCTCAGGTCAATTGGGATGCCGATGTAGTGGTCGGTGAATGTGTGGTTCTGTTCGGGGTCCAAGACTTCGAGCATAGCTGCTGAGGGGTCGCCTTGGAAGTTGGCTCCGCCCACCTTATCGATCTCATCCAGCAAGAAGACCGGGTTGGCCACGCCGACCTTCTTCAAACCATTGACGATCAAACCAGGCATTGCGGCAACGTAGGTCCTGCGATGACCTCGGATCTCTGCTTCGTCCCGGACACCACCCAGGGATATCCGATGGAACTTGCGACCCAACGAGGCAGCCACGGACCGTGCTAGACTCGTCTTTCCAACACCCGGAGGGCCGACAAGCAGAAGAATCGGTGATTTGTCGCCGATGCGCTTGGACTCCAAGAGGTGTAGCTTGGTCTCAAGAGCAACCCTGTCTGCTTCCGAGAGAGTCGGGATATCCTTTTCAATGTCGCCCGCATCGGAAGCATCCAGTTCCTTGGTGAGACTCTCGATCTGGCGTTGCACATCCTTGTTGGAGGTTTGCTTTAGACGCAGCACCGCCAAGTACTCGAGAAGCCGCTTCTTGATCTTCTCCAGGCCGTAATGGTCGTCGTCTAATTGCTGGCGTGCTCTCTTCAGAGTCTCAGGACCAAGCTGGTCTTCGGTGACCTTGGTCCAGGGAATGTCGGCAATGTTCTCGAGGTAGCTTCTGCACACACCGTACTCTGCATTGGCCGGGTTCATCTTCCGGAGACGACGCAACTCCTTATCCGCGACTTTCCTGGCTTCAGGGCTAAGCTCAGCATCATTGAGTCTTTGCTGGAGCTCATCGACCTCGTTCGCTTCCTTCTCATCCCCGTCGTTGTTCCGGCCGCTTGCCATCCCCGGCGGCGTCAATCCCGTCAGGCCGGCCATTGCTCGTTTGGCCAGCAGCTCCCGCTCGCGCGGATCGATCTGGCTGATATCAAATGAAGACCCGGGGAATGTATTGGTAGTGATGGTCGTCACTTTGACGTTGCTCTTGATGTTCTGTACCTGCCGACTCAGGATCTCGATAGCGCCTTCTAGCCTGGCGCGGACATCAAACGAGGCCAGAATGCGGAGCTTCTCCTCGAAGCCCGAGTCGGCAACATCGGCCATGAAGTCGGCCAACCTACCCGCGTGGGAGATATCAGACTTCGTGATGAAGATCTCGAATTTCCGAGCAATGATGGGCGATAGGCGGGTTCCCGCGGAGGGCAGAAGTGAGGACAGTCGCAGGAGAGTCAATAGCTCCTTCGAAAGCTGTCTTAGCTGTTGGAATAGGTCGACCGTCTCAGTGTCATTGATGACTACACGTTCAAATATGGTTATTTAGCTAAGGACGTCGAAGAAGAATGCAATGGACACCGACCTTTATCGTCATGGATGATGGTTTCGGCCTCAAAGAACGGCCGTTCCTTGAGGACTCGTTTGAGGGTGAAGCGCTGGATTCCCTGCACCAGAAGGGATGGCTCTGCGTAGGCCCGGCGTTGGATGCCAATCACCTTACCCACGGTGCCATACCGGAAGAGGTCCTCCTTGCGCGCCTGTCCCGCATCAATCATCTCGTACTCGTCCCGCTTGTCCTCCTCCAGGGTTCCATCATCGATGACCCGCTGACCATCCTTGCTTAGGTACGGGGAGCTGAGAGGGATGCATCCGAAGGTGACGATGCTCCCGTCGCGTTTCGCTGCGGGAGAGCGGTCCAGCACGGTGGTCAGGAGATTCGCGATATCTGGTCGGTTGGAGACCGGAATCCGGAGTGTCACTCCGGGAAGTAGGACGGAGCCTTTGGGGAGCGGGACCAAGGCAAGCTTGGTGGTTCTGCCGCTGTGGGAACCCATCGCGGGATAATGGATACCAGATCAGTTCAAACGTGGGCCGCAAAGGTACAATGATTCAAGCGGAGAGAGGAATGGCAACAAGAGCGGTAGGGTGTGGTCGATTCAGCTGAGTCGATGTTATAAGAGAGAGAGGATGAGAAGGGGGAAAATAGGATATAGAATAGATTTATGGAGAGTTTGAAGTGAAGAGGTGAGGAATGTGAGGAGAGAAAGTGGTTCCAGATGGATGGATGGATGGATGGATGGGAGAAGGTGTGACACTCCCGTCTGGGGTTGGGGTGAGGCGGAGAGGAGGAGGAGGAGGAGGAGGAGATCGAAAGATAAGCGCCTCCCTCCCGATCATGCCGAGGTTCGTAGCCGTCAGGCGACCAAGCGTGAGTTAAATAACCTCCCACTGCGGGCAAAAACCTGGGGGATTCTCCTCTTGTCTCACTTGCTCCTTGCTCTTCCACCAGCTTCTAGTCTACCTACCCCCTTTAGGTTCGATCTGATAAGGTATGTTGTCGATCAAGATGGTCGCAACTTCGCAATAATGAGTACTATACTAGCCTACACTCACCATGACGTGTATTGAACAGTAGGATCGCTTATCGGGATGCTCTCTATCGCGAAGAGGCAAAAAGGGCCCCAGTTGTAAGATTACCCCCGTAAGATTACATTATCCCACTATCTTTGCCCCGGACCGGCCAGTCCAGCCGAGTCGTATGACAAAACCGAACCCGCAAAAAATACCCGGTGGAAAATGTGCTCGAGCCGGAGATCCAATCCAACCTTAACAACTTGACAGCAGTCACAGCAGTCACAGCACCGTGCAATTGCCACTCACCTCGCCATCTATTTGTTTTGTCCTGTCGGAGCGCATTCCCGTTCTTTCTCCTCTTTCACCCACCCGCTTCTAATCTCCTCTCCCCTGTTCTATTCCCCCCTCTCTCCCAACCACCGTCGAAATGGCCTCTACCCCGCTTGCCAGCGCAAACGCCGCTGATCCCTCCTCCCGCAAGGTCTTCACCATCGGAACGCGCAAGTCCAAGCTCGCTCTGCTCCAAACCGATCTGGTTCAGGCCGCCCTCAAGGCCAAATGGCCCGAGTATGAGTTCAAGATCCACTCGCGTGAAACCGCCGGCGACCAGAACACCACCATCGCGCTGCGGGACTTCACCACCAAGAACCTGTGGACACAGGAATTGGAGGAGCTGTTGATGGCCGGTCATGTGGACCTCATCGTGCATTCGCTCAAGGGTAAGTGTGGTGGCGCCCAACGGAAGAACAAGAAAGGCTCGGGGGAATTTTTGGGCTGACACAGACTTGTGGTTGCAACGTAGATGTCCCCACTCTGCTGCCGCCCTCATGCACGCTGGGCCCGATGATGGACCGGGAAGATACGCGCGACGTCTTGGTCGTCAAGCAGGGATTGCCGTACAAGAGCTTGGCCGACCTACCTGCCGGTTCCGTGGTGGGCACCTCCTCTATCCGTCGCACTGCCCAGCTGGCGCGGCGGTACCCCCATCTTAAGGTCACGGACGTTCGCGGAAACATCGGCACTCGTTTGTCGAAGCTCGATGCGGAGGATAGCCCCTATGCCTGTCTGATTCTGGCGGCGGCCGGTTTGCTCCGTCTGGACCTGCAGGACCGCATCACCGCCTATCTGGACTCCGAGAATGCCGGTATGCTCTACGCCGTCGGGCAGGGGGCTCTGGGTATCGAGGTCCGCAAGGATGATCAGCTTGTGCTCGACATGTTGACGGGCATCGGTCACCAGGAGACGACTCTCGCCTGTTTGGCGGAGCGCAGCCTGCTGCGGACCCTGGAGGGTGGCTGCAGTGCCCCTCTAGGTGTCGAGTCGGAGTGGGTTCGCGATGCCGATGGCTCGTCCAAGCTGAGGATGCGGTCGGTGGTGGTTAGCGTGGATGGCAGTGAGAGCTCCGAGGTGGAAGTGGATGGGTCCGTGGATACCCCTCAGGCTGCTGAGGAGTTCGGCGTCACGGTTGCCAATGCGCTGGTGGCCAAGGGAGCTGGAAAGATCCTTGAAGAGATCCAGCGGAACAAGCAGGCCTCTCAATGATGTCTTGTACAGTACAAAGATGCTGTGGTGGAGATGCTGGTCCTCTCCTTCACCGAAGGCATGAAGGATATGAAAAGACGGATACCCATACAAGGAAACGGCACGTTGCAGGTTTAGGATAGATTATGATATACCAACGCAATTTATAAGGCATATCTGCGTCGATGGCAGATCTAGCAAGGAATATATGCATTAATTATATGTGCTAGTCTCGTGGCGAGACTCGGACCAAGAAACCAACCATCGGCGTCTATATAGCATTCATGGCAATCATCCTCTATTGAGAGTGTTTCCCGAGCCTCGGGGGTTTGCTTCCTTGAACTCATCCCAGGCCCGGGCCTTCATAGTCTCCCCGTCGGCGATATCGTGGTCGTCTTCGTCGACCTCTGGTTTGATCCCGGATGCCTCGCCTCCCCCTTCGATAACGTTGCCCCGCCTTCGTTCCTCTTCGAGGTATTCATCGATGGTCATAGTCGGCAGGTTGTGCCCGGAGCGGAACACGCCCTGCTGCAGCTGGGTGCGGCGATCCAGTAATGTGAAGGGCTGCATCGGCCGTCCCTCCTTGCTCAAAATCGGCCCGAGCCTTCCTCCTCTCAAGAGCTCGGCGATCGGGCGGTCCAGTCGCTCGGAATACCCCGATTCGGCTTCCCCATTGCGTCTCCGGGGGTCCTCCGGCGACAGCTCGGTGGGATTGGGGGGTGCCGTGCGCATCGTGGCCAACATCGACAACTCCTGCGCCAAGAGGTCGAGCGACTGGAACGTCTGGTGGGCGTAGAGCGCCAGCTCCGCCAGGTACAACGCGCGCACATCGTCCTCGTCACTCTGCAGGCGGTCTTTGTTCTTGGACAAGTACTTTTTGTTTGGAGATTGAGTAAGCGGGCGACCTCCTTCATGTCAAGAGCCTGTGATGCTGTCTAACCTCGAGTTTCTGCTTCAATTCCTTCTCCTCCCGGAACCGGGTGATCTTCACCTCGCGCCGGACCGCCGCATCGTTGGTGGGGGTGAGCGAGAAGGTGGACGGGTTGGCCGCGTACCGCTCGTAGAGCTTCTTGTCGCTGGCGCTGAGGATCTCGTATTCTTCCAGGCGGGCGAGGAATCTTTCGTACTGGCTCAGGGCCCGGCGGAGGGAGGCTTCGCGGTCCGATGTGTAGGTTCTTTGGAGGAGGTCGGCGAGCAGGTATTCGACGGTCAGGTATCTGCAGTGAGAGAGAGGGTGTGTGTGAACAAAAGACAAGCTCCGATCAAATGTCTATGACTGAACAAAATGGGGGGGGGGGGGGGGCCAGTACTGTAGATCTCCGGTGGAGATGTCCTCGAGAGCTTCGTTGGAGCTGAACAGGGACAGCAAGCTCACTAATCGTTGGCATTCCTCAAGCTTGGCTATGACTGCGTTGACATCACTGCGATAAGCATCCGTGTTGCTGTCGAACCGCCCCTCCAGCGCGGTCTTCTCGGCTTTCGCCTCGGTGAATAGAGTGCGGAGGTTCTGTGGTGGTTCCATTAGGTTGGATGTGCGTCTTGCTGAGGGTGGTGCAGGTGTTGGGTTCTGGGTATGGAGGATGGCTGATCGACGTGCCCTCGAAGAAATAATTCCCTGGGCCCGCCCCGCGGCAAGCCCCGCAGCTATCAATTTAGGGGTGGATCCTCGCGCTCCAGCCCGGTGGAGGGAAGTATATATTTTCAAATTTCAATATATTTTCACAGAATATTGCTCCGGTCTAGTCGTGTCCATGGTAAGTAGTGATCTCAGTTGCGAAGTCTAGATACTTGATATCACTATTGTAACAGCACATACCTTATGCTGATCATTTCGAAGCTGTGTAACTCCAATAACCTCGAAGACATGTCTCAAGCCGGCGTGTGAAACATTCACACTCTACAAACAGAGCATGGTCCGTTTGTTGTACGGTTTGTATTCACTGCACAACACGGTGACACTGTCACAGATGTCGAAGAGAAATTCATTCCACTACAAGCCCTGCCCATTTCACTAAACACTCACTTTACCTCTTCTGCATTTCTAACATGAACACTTTCCCTCTCTCCGCCACAATTCTCCTACTCCGAGTCGAGCCTAGAGTATGAAAATGGCTGGGTCGAACGTCGACAACCTCAACGCCGGATTTCTGGAGATCCCTGTCTCCAATACTAAGAGCGACGCCCCAAGCGCTACCAACGAGACCACTGGAGTCGAGGTCATCTCAGAGAACGCCGAAAACGCTTCCAGCTCGTCTGACTCGGATGATGATGAGCAAGAAAGCATCAACCCAATGGATGCCTCGCAACGACGGAGGCTTCAAAATGCCAAGTTCAACGTCCTGTAAGTTCATTCCATCACTTACCCTTCATTTTTGGGTGTGATTAACACTCACCCAGCTTGTCCGAGCGCGCTGTCACCGATTCCGTCGACACCAACAAAAGGGTGGCGCCTGATCTGCCTGACGCCCAGCTTTCGACCGCTCACTTGATAGTCAAGCACGATCTTGCCACTGGTACCTTGGATCCAAGAGACTACCAGGTAGAGCTCTTCGAAAGGGCCAAGGCACAGAATACGATTGCCGTGCTCGAAACTGGTAAGAACTGACACCCACTCAATAGGCCTGGCATGTCTGATCTATGTGTGTGATAGGCTCGGGGAAGACTTTGATCGCAGTGCTGCTCCTTAGGCATACATTGCAAAACGAGCTAAATGATCGTGCTGAAGGAAAGCCGCACCGCATATCTTTTTTCTTGGTGCGTATATCTTTCCATGAGTTTATGAGAAAACTCACACGTCGACAGGTTGATAGCGTTACTCTCGCCTTTCAGCAAGCGGCAGTGCTACGTCACAACCTCGATCAAAGCGTTGGTCAGTTCTTCGGCGCCATGGGAACCGATCTGTGGAACAAGGAGATTTGGGACGAGCATTTCAAGACGAACATGGTCATTGTCTGCACGGCTGAGATCCTGCATCAATGCTTGCTCAATTCTTACATCAGGATGGATCAGATCAATCTCTTGATCTTTGATGAAGCTCACCATACCAAGAAGGATCATCCCTATGCACGGTGCGTTCAGTGTGTGACAAAGCTCGAGTAGATTGTCTGACTGGGCTTAGGATTATTCGTGACACGTACCTGAAGGAGGTTCCTTCAAAGCGGCCAAGGGTATTTGGGATGACGGCTTCTCCAGTGGACACCAAAGGTGATGTGGTCGATGCTGCGATGTATGAACAAGCTCTCTCCTATCTCTCTGATGCACTTGCTAATATCTCGTAGGAGGCTTGAAACGTTGTTAGACAGCACTATTGCCACAACATCCCAGGCTACGTTACTGCGACAATATGTTAGTCGTCCGGTCGAAGAAACGTGGGCATACAAGAGATTAGAGCCCCCAGTCGCGACGGCATTGTACAAAGATCTCAAGCAACGGTTTGGTGACCTCGAGTGTCTCGAGGGAATCTTCAAATTCGCCTGGCAGGCAACCTCTGAACTGGGTAGTTGGTGCTCGGATAGAGCATGGCTGCGTGCTTTAGCTGATGACGTTCTGCCCCGACTCGAGGGGAAGATCAACAAGTCGGTTGAATCTAATAGTTCGCTCACAGAATCCCAGGACACGCATACACAAATCTTGCGAATCAGAGAAGCCAGCAACCTTGTCAAAAGGCATGAGCTCAGCAGCCCTCTCGCTCCAGGAACTCTAAGCTCGAAGGTGCAGTTGCTCCGTGCTGAGCTGCAGAAGCGCTTTCTGCATCCAGATCAAACAAAGTGCATTGTCTTCACCGAGAAACGATACACCGCGTTAATGTTGTTTGAGCTTTTTAGCAACTTACCTATCCCTTACCTTCGACCTGGTGTGCTTATTGGGGTTCGATCGGGGGACGTTGCAGGAATGGGCATAACTTTTCGTCAGCAGTTCCTTACCTTGATTAAATTCAGAGAAGGAGAGATCAACTGCCTGGTAGGTGACGATGCTGCCTACAGAATCAATAATGCTGACTGAATAAGTTCGCTACCTCGGTAGCTGAAGAAGGTCTTGATATTCCGGACTGTAATCTCGTCGTTAGGTATACAGACCTAGATGTCCACCATTGAGAGGGTCTGACTTATAGCATAGGTTTGATCTTTACCAGACACTCATTCAGTACGTGCAGAGCCGTGGTCGTGCCCGGCACTACAAGTCAACGGTATGAGATACGACTCTCGATCCGCGAAGTCAATGCTTATTTTATTCACAGTATGCAATCATAGTCGAAAGATACAATCCGCAGCACCAGGACCGACTGTCGGAAGTTCGAGATGCCGAGGTAGGCCCACATCCTGTTTAGAAGAGTCGGGCTAATCTGAGACAGAGCATAATGCAACAGTTTTGTGAAGCTCTGCCTGAGAATAGATTACTGCATGGGAACGATGATCTAGAAAAGGTGTTGGAGAAAGAAGCCGGCAAGCGGACTTACACTATCAAAGCATCCGGTGCCAAGTTGACCTATCACTCCGCCATTGCCATACTCGCTCGCTATGCTAGCTCTCTGGTAAGTGTGATCCATATGATAGACTGTGATTGTGCTGACATAGCAACCGTTCAAGCAATATGAGAAAGAGCAAGATGCAAAAGTGCATTACGTGGTACTTCCTGTCAACAATGCTTTTGTTTGCGAGGTCATTCTGCCTGAGAAGTCGCCAGTGGTAGGGCTCACTGGGAGTCCGGAAATCCGAAAATCGAGAGCCATGCAGACTGCAGCATTTGATACATGCATACGGCTACGCAAAGCCGGATTGCTCGACAATCACTTCAAGTCAATGTTCCATCGTCGCTTGCCTGCGATGAGGAATGCCAAACTTGCCATAACCTCCAAGCAGACTAGCCAGTACGACATGATAGTCAAACCGTCATTTTGGGAAGACAAAAGAGGCGAGCTTCCACATAGTCTTTACATCACTGTAATCCTGTTGGAACCTTCTCGTCCCCTAGCAAGACAGCACGCAAGCCTCTTGTTGCTTACTAGGAACCCCCTTCCGGAGTTTCCAGCCTTTCCCATCTATCTCGATGAAGATATAGAGACGATGGTGCACCTGATTCCATTGAGAGAACAGCTAACAATCTCAAAGATAGAGCTGCAATAC